TATGCGGAAGCTGGCTGAGTGAAATGAGTCGAGTGAGTTGAGATACGCGTGTTGAGTATAGATGATATCGTCACTAGACACGAATTAAGGCGCAAGCTCGAAAGTTGACCGCGAAAAAATACCGCATAAAAAAAACTTCGACGGCGAAGAAAGACGCGTAAACTTATTTTCGCAGTGAACTATGTTTGCGAGTGTAATTGTATGTACATTCCCCAAAGAATTCTGGGGAATAATGTTGAAGTGACCGTCCTTGGCCAGACATAAATTTATGTTTACGCGTCTTTATTCGCCGAAATGTTTTTTACGCGTCTTTTTCGTCAATGCGTCCTTTTTCGTCAATGCGTACTTTTTCGCCGTCAAAACAATGGCGCGCCTTTATTCTATTGACCATGTAACCAGCTAGGAACAAGACTAAGCATACAGTTTCCTTAAATTAGTAATTTATTGATATTTATCAGTGAGGCTAACGCTAGTGGCATTAGATGCTGTGTAATATATACATCAGACTGTCCTAAGAATACATATGTATGTATATGGAAAAAATTTTGCTTGCAAATTTTGATATCTTTGATCTTCCGTATTTGTACTTTTTAGCCTAAATAACATATATATGAAGTTTTATGGCCGGAATAACGATAACCCGTGCCGACTTTTAGTTGAAGTTTTAGCTAATAACTTGAATTAATTGTCCATGAAAACTTTGGAAATGCGAAATACTAGATTTCTAGTAAATCTGCATCTTCATGTTTTTAATGGGACGGCAGGATTATTCCAAAGGAAATTGAAAAATTTAATTAAATGAAAATATCCTTTGTAATTTTTATCCTTCAATATTCTTTTATATTGATTTTTTCTTAAAAACTATCCAAAGAAAATTTTATGCAATCCGAACCACGGCAGCCCGTGCCAACTTGCAGTCAAAGTTATAGGCCAGTATGCAGCTCTCAAGAAAAGCAAAAACTCCATATAAAATGGCGTACAAGAGATGGCTAAGAAATTTTCTTCAGTCAAATTTCCTTAAGGCCCGTTTTCTTGAGAGCTGCATACTGGCCTATAACTTTGATTGCAAGTCGGCACGGGTTGCCGTGGTCCGAATTGCATAAATATTTCTGGGCATCGGAATGGGCCTGTTTGGCCTGCAAGTGTACTCTTTTCAGAGCTACCTGCAAAATCTAACTCTTTAAACAAACTTTGCACTGTAAAAACACGTTGTATTTGGGTAATGAACAAACAAAAAAATAAAAATCGATGGCTTATATCCTATACCCTTTCTCTGCAATTTTCTGTCCTGTATTCCTGCGAGACAATTATAGGCAAGAAGTGGGGTCTGCATCCTGATCATATGCTATAGATTGCATACGGACGTAGGGACGCACCAAGTCCATACACACAACGTTAGGCAGCGTACAAAGGTCAGTTCGCATTGCGATTACGGGGTCGATCAGATCATGTCCAACGTAAGCAATAAATGTCATCGGTCAATTGCCAATCAAGGGAGGAGTGGAAGGACACTTTTACTGAACGCCATTGTTAACAAAGAAGCGTGCAAAATTAGTTCACCCTCGGAGATAGCAGGGCCCGCTTTGCTATTTTTCCGGTTAGCCATGTCGCACGAGTATCACCTCCAACATAATAAAGCAGTGCATAGAGTAGGTTATGGCTTTAGGCTATAGCCATGTTATTGCACTAATCTGGGTTTCGAGGCACAGCAACATGCATAGCAACGGAATATCCCACTAGCTAACCAGAAACGGTTCGGCTCTGAAAAGCTAAGTGGTAGAAGAGGTGTTTGACAGCATATATCTCATAGGGCATTCGCATTTAAGTTCCATAGGAGTGGAAAGAGAGCACCGTCTTGCGGAGTGCCTCTTGTTGCGTTTCTGATTGCAGACACTTACGCCATTTCCGTTACGATGGCTATCAAGATGCCTAGAGCGAATTCTTTGAGCGTTTTAAGGCTTTTTCAATGATATTTATAATCCGTGGTAAACGTGTGTCGAAAGACTTTCCAGTTAATGCATATACATTTTCTGTCTATCTAGTACCTTGATGAAGAAAGAAATAAGGATTATTATTTAGTCCAAAGTCGTTTGCTTTAAAAGTGTTGGAATACCTCTTCCTCTATTTGGTATAAACACTACGAACACTGGTTCCTCCCTTGGATATGAATTTTAGTCTCACGCAAGGCTAATATTGTGTACCGTACATACCTGCATACCTGGAGATGTGTACGGTTGAAAGGACCAGAGGATAGCCATAAGTAATTATAGGGGAACCAGGATTCCCAATGTACCACGGGAAAAGTGCACTCTCTCTCGATATAGCCTCCACTCGTCATTCAGCTAGCACTGTTCTCAAGCGATTACCCTCCGGCTGCTCCTCTTTGCTTTCACAGAAATTCTTCCAGCAGTACCTCTGGTCTTTTTTGAATACTTACATCATTTTAACTTACCATGTATTTATAATGCAAAATAAATGTTTAACAACGTAACTCTTTGATTTAACTAAAAAAGGAGTTATTTATTTTCAGTATTGTAAGCAATACATACATACATATGACATATGAAGAAATGATCGTTAAATACTTATTTACACAAATATAATCGTATATCCATTCGGTTTTTTTCTATGACTTTCTAAAACTTAATCTTTTCTACGCATAGCACATAATTTATCTTTAGTATCGGTGTCTGTGTCTATAGGCATAGCCGGCCGATTGAGCAGTCGTCGTTGCGGCTTCCGGTTCCGGTGCAGCTGAGGATATAGTTGTTGTCGCAGCTGGAGCAGCAGGTACAGCAACGCCTTTCACCCAAATCGGTATACGAATGGTTTTCGTAATATAAGTCGGCTTCGGAATAGCAGCGCTGACACTATTTACAGTGCTCAGGACATTTTTGAGTAAGCTCTGCTTCAAGTTTACTTTCGCTTGGACCAAACCCCCAACAAGTTGGTTAACTGTTTGAATTTTTGCTGTCACAGCATTCGTTAGTCCTTGAATGAGTGCATTCGGATCGATAGCGGGTGCAGCGGCAGTGCTTGAAGTGCTGGGAGGAGCGGCACCAATACCTATGTATGTATGTATGTTTGTGTAAAAAAGAAAAAAAAATGGAGGGCATATAAAGTCATGGGCATAAGATGTTAGATTTGAGTTGATAATGGTATAAATATGTACAGATATCTAAGTACATACGCATACTATATATACATGCCTAGTATATACATACATATGTATACTTGTAACATCTGTATGTATGGAAGTCGAAAAGTATTACAAGCGTACGCACTTTATTTTAGAAAGGGTGAAGGGATGACTTATCGAAACATTGAATATTGGAATGGACGGCTCGTTCAGCAAGCGCACGATTTTATCATACCGCCACCCTTTGGCCAGAAACATGAATGTGTAAAAATGTTGGGAAAACAAGTTTCAAAGTTTTTTTTATGAGACTTATCTCCACATTCCATCTAACTGACATTGTAAAATATGTTATTTCCGTGTATATTACCATGAGTTGTGGTATAACATAGAACATCCAAAGGTTAATCAAGTCAACCCAATTAGTTATTCATGCTTCTGGCATAGAGGGCACGATAAGCATTAGTATCGTATCTAAAACGATTTTTTTCTAATAAATATGCATATCTCATATTGTATTACGTTTCTCCTTTTTGTACAAAAGTCCATGTGTTAAATGTAATTAAATTCAAGCAGTTTCCGCTTCTTATCTGAATTTAAAAAATTGAATTTTAGTTTTACAGCAACAACAAAAGTCTGAGTTTTTGTTAGCTCAATCGACTTGAATTTGAAAGCACTTTATTTAAATTAATTTTTTAGTATTGCACTTATGGTCAAAATAATAAGGTCAAAAACAAAATTATATTGTTGCCACTTTGGTAAATTGTTACCAAAATTGGTAGAAAAAATTTGGTTTGGTAAAAAGGTAAATTTCTTCTCATTTTGGTAGATTTTTGTTGAATTATTTTGTTTGAATTATTTTTATGTTTGAACAAATAAAACTTTTCATTCGCGTTTTATTTTCCGTAGTTATCTTTTTATTACAAACTTCTTTCCAAAAGTGCAGTCTACTTTATTACATACATTTTCGAACGCTTTAATGCACACTTTTTATAAACATACGTATAAATGTATATCGATAAAAGGCGAACATATTGTGCTCCATTCAAAACTCTTTTACTGGAATTCCGAGAAGCTTTTCATTGCCTAAATATTTTAAATGAATATTTAGATAAAAAGAAACAAATGGACAGGTATGTAATCACGCACTTTGATTGTTCGCAAAAAAAAAAAAATTAAATCAACGCCATATTTTATCAATGGTAATTGTTAAATGAAAAAAACACAGAATACTGTCGGCAAGAAAATTAAAAAATACCAACGGGAATTTATAGCTGCACCTCGTTGGTTATGCTCAAATATTATGGGCTATAAGATACCTTAAATTGTCAAAAAATTCAGCGTAAAAGGGTCGAAATTTAGGCGAAAATATTTGAATTTTTTCTAAATGTTAGATTTAGCTTGAATCCTTGACAATTTTTTTAATTTCTAAATGTTGTATTTAGCTTGCATCCTTGATTTTTAAGTGTTTGGTTAAAGCGCACACCATATTGTTATAAAAAAGTACCAAAACTGTTTGCTTAAAAAGAGTGAATATTAAAAAAAAATATGCCAAGCGGTTTTTTATTCACTGTATTTATCTTTAATAACTACAGTTGAAGTTATTTCAAATGATGAAGTTTCCTTGTTGCCTTAGATAGATATTTTCCAGATTTGGTAGATTTTTTTCAAGTGGATGGTAATTATTTGTTTTCCTCAGTGGCAACCCTGATTGTGCCACTTATGTTTATTTAATTAATTTTCATAATTTTCATCTATAATATAGTTTGATTTATAAAAGAAACCACGAGGAAAAGTTTCAAAGCTTACACAAAGTTCACAAAAATTAATCAAATTTCAAAAAATGTTCATCAAAATATCAAACTTGTACGAAAATGGAAAAAATACGCAACACAGGCTGCAAAAAAAGATTATTTATTAGCGACTTGGAACTTGCACTTTATTATACATACTAAATTCGCATAGGCTATAAAACTGCATACTCGAATAAAAAGTTTGAAATTTTGATGAATTTTTTTTTTTATATTTATGAACTTTGTGTGAGCTTTGAAATTTTTATTCATGTGGTTTGTGTTGTGCATCCAACTATATTTTAATTGGAAATTATTAAAAATAAATATGTAAATAATCATAAGTAGCAAACAATAACATTTTGAATTTCGACCCTATTGTTTTGACCATAAGTGTATGAATGTAAATTTGTTAGCAAGTTTGCTA